AATAGAAGAAATAAGAGGGAAGGGAAGAGAACAAAACAAGAAGAAAGAGGAGGACTTGAGAAAAATGAAAAGAAGAAAGGAAGAAAGGCATGGGAAATTAGAAGGGCAACACAAAGATGAGGGGAAGAAGAGATATTAGAAACATGAGAGAAAGAAGAGATGGAAATCAGATAGAAAACAGAGAGGAGGAGAAGGAAAGCAAAGAAAATGTAGACAAAAAAATTCAGTGGAAGAGGCAACAGGCATGGAAATATATAGGCAAATTTATTTCGGACCGTAATCGGCCCGAAATATATTCAATTGACATCTGGCGCCCAGAATAAAAATTTTGAATGTGGGGAAATTTTTTGGCGGTTTATCATTTTAGATCATTATTGGGCTGGAAATTGTTAAAAAGTTTAAAATTTTCACATTTAAAATTTTTGTAGAAAAGGTGGCAAAAATATTTAGACCAAAGTTAGTCTGAATAATAAAACTTAAAGTAAACATACAACAATGAAAAATATATTTAAGAAAAAAATTTTAAAAAAAAGAATGTTATATTCGGACCTCCGTTGGTTCGAATATGTTTTTCAAACCAACAATGGTCCGAATATGTGCAATATAATTCTTTTTTTTTTTTTTCCCCAGACCGTGCAAGGTTCATTCTACTCCCATTCAAGCAACATGCTTTAAAAATCTTGAATGTCATAGAATCTACCCTTAAAATTAGCAATACAAAACCTACAAGTTTGCGGTTTAGGAATAGCATAGCATAACTTTAAAAGTAATGATCTTAACTCTACGTATTTGTGGTTTTGCAATGATATTGCATTCCACCACCGTGAAGTCTTTTTGAGCAACTAACTTATCTTGTCAAGGTTAGGAGTGACTATAGTAGTGACTATAGTAGTGAAGTGCATGCATCTGGTTTTGGTAGAAACGGAATCGGAGCTCGTTTTGATCAAATTGTCCTTAAATAAAAAGAATGAAAATGTCTCAAAGTAGAAGCTTCTAGATTATGCTACACATATTTAGACCACTATTGATCCGAATATGTTTTTCAGACTAGGAGTGGTCCGAATTGTGTAGTAGAATTCTTTTTTATTTTTTTCCCAAACCGTGCAAGATTCGCTCTACTCCCATTCAAGTAACATGCTTTTAAAATCTTGAATGTCATAGAATCTACCCTTAAAATTAGCAATACGAAACCTACAAGTTTACGGTTTAGCAATAGCATGGCATAACTTTAAAAGTAATGATCTTAACTTTATGTATTTGTGGTTTTGCAATGATATTGCATTTCATCATCGTGAAGTCTTTTTGAGCGACTAACTTATCTTGTCGGGGTTAGGAGTGATTATAGTAGTGACTATAGTAATGAAGTGCACGCATTTGGTTTTGGTAGAGACGGAATCGGAACTTGTTTTGGTCAAATTGTCCTTAAATGAAAAGAATGAAAATGTCTCAAAGCAGAAGCTTCTAGATTCTGCTACACATATTCGGACCACTATTGGTCCGAATATGTTTTCCAGACCAATAGTGGTCCGAATATGTGCAGTAGAA